ATGCACATAGGACCTCCTAGTACTAGCCTACGTAAGTAGCTAGGTCTAATATAATCTATTCTTTTATATAAGTATTATTATTACCTAGGGGGTCCTATAGGAGCTATTTAAAGCGCCGGCTTATTACTTTAACCTTATATACCTCTAGCCCGTTTATTATAACTATTATAATTAGGCTAGCGTCGATATACTAAATCTTAGTATTTATATTAGCCCGGCTATTTATAATATTTATAATATTACTTAGCTAAATTTTATATTATTAAAAAGTACTTTACTACTTCTTAAGTATACTTACGTTAGCTATAATAACTATAGCGTCGAGCTAGCTAAGGGCGCCCAGCCTTAAAGGGGCAGACTTATTAATAAGTATTTTTAAAATAGTAGTTTATATATTAATAAGTTTATTTAGTAGATTTATTTAATAAATTTATTTAGTTTAAATAGAGAGTAGCTTTAGGTAATATTAGAAGTAATAAGGATAAAAAAAATATTTATAAGCTCTAATATAAGTAATAAATATTAACCTATTTAGCCCTTTTTTTAAAAACCTCTACGTTATTATTAAAGTTTAGAACCTCTATAGTTAAAAAAGGCTACCTCTAATTATTATAGCTAATTATTACGGCTAACTATTATAACTAACTATTATAACTAACCTCTATTATTAACCTTTTTACCTAGCGCCGCTACGTAATAAAAAAAGTAACTTACTTATCCTAAATTAAATAATAATTTTTATATTAAAATTATTATATTATATTAAGTATATACTTAGGATATATTACGCATATTATATAATTAAAAAGTATACTATATTATATAATTGTTTTTAAAAGCGTAATCCCGTTAAGGTCAATCTTTTATACTTATAAAGCCGGAAAAAAAACCACTATATAAAACCCCTTAAATAATAATAATATTTATATTAAAAAATAAATTATATTAGACCTAGGTACTTATATAGGCTAGTATTAAAAAGTCCTATATATATTAAAATAAATAAAGCTCGTTTTATAAGTAAGTAAAAGTAGTAAAAAGTTAGGAGCTATTAATAAAAAGGAGATAATAGTCGAGTTAGTTAATTTTAGTTAGTAATTAGGTATAGAGCGCATTATACCTAGTTTTTTTTAATACGTAATATATAGTACGGCCCCGGCGGATTGCTCCGTCGGGGGGTTAGAACCTCTATAATTAAGGGCTGCTTTTAATTATTATAATTAATTATTATAGCTAATTATTACGGCTAACCTCTATTATTAACTTTTTTAGCCGGCGCTATTATAGGGTAGCTTACTTATACTAAATTATATAGCGGTTTTTATATCAAAATTATTATATTACGTTAAGTACGTATTTAGGGTATATTATATATATTATATAGTTAAAAAGTATACTGTATTATATAATTTTTTTAAAAGCGTAATCCCGTTAAGGTCGATTTTTTATACTTATAAAGCCGGAAAAAAACCACTATATATAAACGATATTAAGAACTGCCAAAGTAGCTAGTAAAGGTAGAATATTAAAATAAATAGTAGTTTTAAAATACCTAATCGACTCCTAAGTATTATTAATACTCTAAAATTATTACGTAGGAATAAATTAAGAAGGACTAAAAGGCTATATTTAGAGTTATTTAAAAAGGTAAAAAGTAGGGGGTAGCTTTTAGCTATTCGGAGGGTAAATAATATATTATAGCGGCGGGGTTATTTTATTTATTAACGGCTGTGGTCGGCCGCGGCCGGCTATAGTTAGTTATAAAGTTTTATTAAAGTATATAATAAAAACACTCGATATTAACCCTAATAGACTAGCTTACTCGTAAAGGCGAAGATGGCCTCTAGTGAGGTAGGTCGGACCCTAAAAGGACTTTTTAACTATATAATATATATAATATACCCTAAGTATACGCTTAACGTAATATAGTAATTTTAATACGAAAACTGCTATATAATTTAGAATAAGTAAGTTACTTTATAATAATACTAATTAAAAAGGTTAATAATAAAAGTTAGCTATAAAGGTTAGAGGCGGCCTTTTTTAATTATAGAGGTTCTAAACTTTAATAATGATATAGAGGTTTTTAGAAAAAAGGGCTAAAAAGGCTAATATTTAATTATTTATATTAGAGCTTATGAAAAGTTTTTTATTCTTATTATGTTTAATATTACTTTAAGCTCTATTTAAACTAAATAAATTTATTAAATAAACTTATTAAACGAGCTTATTAATATATAAACTACTATTTTGTTAAAAATCCCCCTTAATAAGTTCCCCCCTCTAGGGCTTGATGAATTAGGCCCCCTTAATACCCCAGCTATTATAACTAATATAAATATACTTAAAGAGTAGTATAGTATTTTTTAATAATACGAAATTTAGCTAAATAATAATATAAATATTATAAATAGCTAGGCTAATATAGACGTTAAGATTTAATATACTAATATAAGTTTAAAAATTATATTTTATAAAATTAAAAATATTTTTAATATGGGCTATATTATAAATATAAGGGAATATATAAGTAGCTCTTTAATCCTTAATAAAAAGGAGTATATAATATAAGATTTAGTTATTTATATAAGCTAATATTAAGAGGTTTTATATACGTTAGAATAAGTATAGCTCGCTATTTAGATAGTTAGAACTTAGAGGACTTTATATAGTAAAAGGTTAAGAGCTGTTTTAATTAATAATTAAGTATAGAGCGTAATATACTTAGTTTTCTTTAATACGTGATATATAATACGGCCCCGGTATATTACTCTATCGGGGGGATAATATTATTTTATAAAAAATAAATAAATATATTATTATAAACGTTACCCTTATTAGCGCCTTTTTAATATAATAAAGTATAACCCCCCGACGGAGCAATCCGCCGGGGCCGTATTATATATTACGTATTAAGGAAAACTAAGTATATTACGCTCTATACCTAATTACTAATTAAAACTCCTAACCTTCCCCTATAGTCCTCTAAGTTCTAACTATTTAGAGAACGAGCTATACTTATTTTAATATATATAAAACCTCTTAATATTAGCCTATATAAATAATTAAATCTTATATTATATATTCTTTTTTATTAAAAATTAAAGGGCCCTTTATATATTTTTTTATATTTATATTATAGCCTATATTCAAAAGATTTCTAATTTTATAAAATATAATTTCTAAACTAATATTAATATACTAAATCTTAATATTTATATTAACTTAGCTATTTATAATATTTATACTATTACTTAGCTAGATTTTATATTATTAAAAAATACTTTATTATTTTTTAAATATATTTATATTAATTATAATAAGTATAGCGTTAAGCTAGCTAAGAGTACCTAGCCCGAGAGGGGTAGACTTATTAATAAGTATTTTTAAAGAGTTCTAGCTTATTAATTACTAACTATATACTAGGAGTAGAGTAATAGTTTATAGATTAATAAGTTTATTTAGTAAATTTATTTAGTAAATTTATTTAGTAAATTTATTTAGTAAATTTATTTAGTAAATTTATTTAGTAAATTTATTTAGTTTAAATAGAGGTTTAAATAATATTAAAAGTAATAAGGATAAAAAGAATCTTTATAAGCTCTGAGTAATAAACATTAGCTTATTTAGCCCTTTTTTAAAAAACCTCTATATTATTATTTAAGTTTAAAATCTCTATAATTAAGGGCCGCTTTTAATTATTATAACTGACTATTATAACTAATTATTATAACTAACTTTTATTATTAATCTTTTTAATTAGCGCCGCTACGTAAGTATATTACTTAGTTTATTATTAATAAGTAATAAAATAGCTTACCTATCCTAAATTGAATAGTTATTTTTCCCTTTAGGGTCCGGTCCGCCTTATCAGGGGCCAACTTTGCCCTTATAAATAAGCTAGTTTACTAAAGTCAATACTAAGTTTTTATTATATAATAAACTTTATAACTAATAATAACTAACTATAGCTATTAATACTAACTAAAATTAAAATACTAATAACCCTACTATTATAATATATTAATTACTATCTAAATAGCTAAAAACTACCCCCTACTTTTTACTTTTTTTGATTACTCTAAATTTCTTATTTTATTATAGTAATATTAAAGTATTAATAATACTCGGGAGTTAGTTAAGTATTTTAAAATTATTATTATATTATATAAGCTAGGTACTAATAATAGCGATATTTATAAGGGTATATACGTTTTTTTAGATCTTAAAGTTAATAATAACTAGTTTATACTCCTTTAGATAATCTTTTTATAAATTAGGATCGTTAAGTATAATATTAATAAGATTGAATTACTAGCCCCTAAGGTATCCCTATAGGTCGACGAGTTAGTATTTCGGTATTCTAAATGTTCTTAAGGTAGATGGTTTAGTAGCGATAGTAATAGTAATAGGGTAATAGCGATAGACGGTAAGGGAAGTAGCGTTTTTCGATTTTAATAAAGGAAACGAGGTAACGAATATATATATATATATAAGTAAAGTTAAAAATATTAATAGTTAGTATTATTCTTAACGATAGCGACGAGGGTATTTTTAATACTATATTATTATAAGCTACTATTACCTAGAGAGTAGTAAACTTAGCTAAATAAGTGTTTTATAAAGTAGTAGCGTTAGGCGCTTAGTATTACCGTTAATAATCTTAAACTTTATAAGAGGGAAAGTTAGAAAGGTAGAAAATCTAAAAAAAATAGTTTAGTAGGATAGTAAGAGTATATACTAATACTATATATTAATACTATATAAACGATACTAAGAATCGCCTGAGTAGTTAGTAAAAGTAGAATATAAAAATAAATATTATTATATACGAACTAAGTTATTAATAAAAGTACTACTTAATTATCCTAGTTATAGTTTATATAATAACGGAGGTATATTTTAAAGATCTAATGAATCCTTTTTATTTATTTATTAGTTTATAAATAAAATAATATTAATAGTTTATAGTTTATATTAAGTTATAGAATGAGTAATTTCTAAAACTTTAAAATAAATAGCTTATTCCTATTAAAAATAATTTCTTTTAATAAACTATAGTTCGAAAATATAACTTTAATAAATATATATACTAAGTCTTTTATAATATTAAGTTTTTTATAAAGAATAAAATATATAAACTTAGTAAGTTAATTAACTATAACTAAGATACTATTATATTATATTTTAATAAATAGTTCTTTAAACTTTAGTAGTTTAATAATAAAGTCCTATATAATTAATTACTATACTTTTATTAGTAATTATAATAGTTATAGCTTATTATAAGGTTTATATAGGCTATTTTTATTTTTTTTATAAGTCGCATAATCCTTAATTACTTTTATAATTTTAATATATATAGCTGATTTATTATATTATTAGCGAATCCGTTTTTATATTTTAATAATTCCTTAGTAATTATATATTAATATATTATCAATATTTATAATAAGTTTAGAGGTTATTTTTTTAATTAGGCTAGTATTAATCTTTTTAATTATTATAAAGAGTTTTATAATTAATATAAAGCTATTACCTTTCTCTTATTTAAAAATGACTTATATTTCTTTAAAAACCGCGACTTTATAATTAGGTCTTTTATTAAAAACGTTTATTTTACTATTTTTTAAACCTTTTAATAAATAATTTAGAAGTTATATTTAAATAGGAATTCGCTCTATTTAACTTATTATTTATTTAAGTTTTTATTAATTATAAAGTTTATAAAGTTTTTATAATTTATATAAACTATTATTTCGTATTTAGTTTTAGATAATTATACTCTCTATTTTTAAAATACTTCGATAATTACTATTAGTTCCTTATTATAAATTTACTAATTTAATTTTATTTTATAAAATACTTTAAATAAATATAATATAAATAAAGCTTTTTTTACTTATCTCGTTATCCTAAGACCGCTCCTATAGCGTATTACAAAAGGAAACTCGAGGTAGGTCAGAACGCTACTATATTAGCCTAATTAACTAAAAACTTAACGTAAAGAGGGAAAAAACAGAACAGTGGGCAGAAGCTAGCGAGTAGGCCCTTTGGGCCTAGCGGTCTAGCTCGTTACGTAACTACTAGGAGCTTAGCCTCGTAACCTAAAGCTAAGCTACAGGGCCCATAGGGCCCTAATACCTACTACTATAATATTACCCCCCCCTTTATACTAAAGGGCGCTATCCATAATACTAAAAAATAAACTTTTAAATTACTTCTTAATTTAGCAAATTTATAACTATAATTATTACTATCATATTATTATTATCCCGTAATAATAATAAGTTACTAACTATAATAATTTTTATTTATAAATTTAGGTTTTATAGCGGGCCCTTAGTAATTAGGTATTAGTAATAGAATACTTAGAACGCTACTAATACGTATTAAAAGCTTTTTACATTATACTAAGTCGGGTTCGTATTATACCCTTTTTAATTTACTTAGTACTATAGCTTTCCCCTATATAAGCATAATTTAATAACCTTAAAAACCTCGTACTCTAGCTTACTATTATTATTAATAATTAGTAATAATAGGTCTTAGTTCTACCTAGGTAATAAGTCGTTAGTAGCCTTCTTTAGCTTATTTAGGTAAAAAACTAGGTATACCTAGCTACTTACTAATAATTTTATAATTTATATACCCCCCTAGTTAGTACTAACGATAAGCTATAGTCCGGCTTATGGCTATTATAGTTTATTTATATTAGCAAACTTTTAATACGAAATATTAATAAAAACTTAATCTCTTAGCTTTAAATTATCTAGGCGCTAGCAGTAGTTAATATACTTTTTATATTATACCTAAGTAATTTTTATATTACCCCTAGTAGTCTCCTAAGCCTTATATATTTTTTAAGCTATACGCTACGCGTTAGTATAATTTAGTTTTTTTTTTATAGAGCCGAATTAGTAGGTTCGTTTAGACTAGTTAAAAGAAAGCCGTAGTTAACGGCCGAATTTTATTTTATATAGTAATAATCCCGTAGTCTTACTAAGCTAGGTAGTATAAGTAAAGTTAACCGTAAGTAGTATATTATTTTAGTTATTTTAATATTAGTTAACTAGTAGTCTTAATTATTATAGGATATACTAGTTTAGTATTTCTATTTAGCTATTTATTTACGGGTAGTTTACTATTAATAATTATAGCTTAATTCCGTAAATTTTATAAAGCTCTTTTTAAAAATCGGAGATAAATTAGGGACCTTAGTTCGATATAATAGTCTTTAATAGGCCGAAGATAGGTAGTACCTATTTATAGAATATTTAGTTTATATTTTTTATTATAGTAGTTTTATAATAAGGAATAGATATTACCCTCTTACTTAGGTAGTTTATTATTATTTAAATATTATTAAATTCTTTTTAATTAGTAAGGATAGTTATAAAGTTCGTAAAGATATACTATTATAAATAGTTAAGTACTAGGAGTAGTCTTAGTTCCCCTAGGGGCTTGTTATATAGTTTTTATAATTAATAATAAGTATAGTAGTTCTATACGTGTTAGTAAGTATTTATTATTAAGCCCGGCTAATAGTATTATTATTTAATTATTTTTATAACTTTATTACGCCCTAAGTAAGTAAGGAGCTTTTACTCGTGGACTTTATGGATAATTATAGTATAGAGGTTCTTTTTTTTAAATATTACGAGCTTTTTATTTATTATTAATAATCCGTTATTTTAAATAAACTAGCGCTCGCGCCCTTTAGTAGCTAGTATTCGTATTAATATAAGGGACGCTATAGTAGGGTCCCTATTAAGCTTTAAAAATTTTTTTATTAATAAGTATTTTTAAAGTTCGTCCTCTAGTATAAGCGAGCTAATTATAAACTATAGTTAACTAATAGTAGTACTTAATAATGCTCGTAACTTCGCTATGATATTAAAAAATAGTAATCCTAGTAATAAGAGGACTTAGGTCTTATTAGCCTCCTTTAGTACTTACTAGGTACAAATATCTTTTATTTTTTATAATAGGGCATTAGTTAGTACGTTTTCTTTTTTTAAGTAATAATAAATTTAAAAATTAAAGTCTATTAGCGTACTAGCTTAGTAAGCTTATTATAAGTTAAGTAAGCGCTTAGTTATAAAAAATAATAATAGTTAGTAATCTATAATAATATCGAACTTATATTTATAATTTACGAGCTCTGCGCGCTATTTTTCGAGGTATAGTACTATTATTAATATTTTTTTATTATAAATAGCATAATTAAGCTCTGCACTATTTATAATTTTTAAATAAAAAGCTATTAAGTACTATAGCTTATTATTTTTTTATTATTATAGTAATACTCTAGTATATACTAAGTTAGAAATATTAGTTTTTAGTTATATTAGTAACTTTAGTTTAAAATAATAGAGAATAAGTACCGATGTTAGTATTAGTTTTATAATTTTAAAAGCTATTTTATAGTTAGTACTAAAGTTAAAAAGGACTCCCTTACTTATTAGTTTTATAAGGGGCCTAGTTAAGCAGCCGTAATCTTTTATAAACCTCTTATAGAAGTTATAGAACCTAAGAAAAGATTAGATATTTTTAAATAATATAGGTGGTTTTTAGTTTCTAACTATAGAGACTTTTTCCTTATTAGGCTATATACCCTCTATAGAAATTACGAAACCTAGGTACTTCGTAAAAATAATACTAAATTTATACTTCTTAATATCTACTTATAAGCCTGCTTTTTATAAGCGGTTTAGTACTTTAGTAACGTACTCTTAGTATTAAAGGGGATTATTAAAAAAGATTAGGATATTATTTATATATACTATATAAAAGGTATTTAGGTACTTTATTAGTATTTTATTTATATATTATTAATACGTAGCCGGCTCGTTATAGAGCCCAAAGGGTACTATTTTATATTTATATACCCCGTAACGGGTTTTAAATATTATTAAGTCCTTAGAGGCTAGGTCGAGGTAAATATAGTAGAAGGCCTACTTAATATTTAATTTAATAAATACTTTTACCTTATTTAACCGCGCGAGGGTCTTATTAATAAGTAATAATAAGTAGTAATTTTTTTTTATAACTTTATTAAGTTTACGGAAGTTAATATAAAAACATAGATTATTATTATATTTTTTTATAAATAGCGTTAGCGATATAAAAGGAGTATTACCTAGCTTAATAAATCCCTTTTATAAGTACTTTAGTAAATAGGCTTTTATAGCTTTTAGCTCTAGTATTAACTATTTATATAGAAAGTAGTAAGTTAGCTTTTTTTTACTACTATTTAGGAGTTCGATTTTATAGTTATATAGCTTATAAAGTATTAATATATTACTAGTCGCCTTATTAAAAATGTTAGTCTAGGGCCGTAGGTATTTTAATAAGTTCGTTACTATAAGGTTATAAGTAACCTAGTCGTCGTTATGTAGGGGGTCTACCTCTTTTTTTTTATTTTTTATAATGCGGTTTAGTTTATAAAATAATATAAAGCTTATTTTAACGTTATTCTATCATAGGTTTTTTTTAAATACGGGAGCGCTAATAAAGGTAATATTTATTTATATTATTATTAAGTATAGCTACTATTATGCCCTCTTTGCGGGGGTAATAGTAGTGCTATTAAGGGCGCGTTTTATTTTTTTTATATTCTTAGCCTTGTTTAATTATTATATTTAACGGGTTATTATTTTTAATAAGCATAATAATATCCTAATTAGTATGCCCTTTGCTCGCTACTACTAGAGCTTTTAGTTATAGTAAGTTATATTTATTTTAAATAGGTCTTATTACTAGTTAGCGTCGATTTAGTACTATACGTTAATAATTTCTGGGGTATATAGGTCCTCGATGTCCCTGATAATAGTAGAGGGCGTCTTTTGTAATAATAGGTCCTTAGGCTATATTAGCCATTAGTAGTAAATATTAGGGTTTATTTCGTAATATTCGAACTACTTCTACTCTAGGATTAGGTTATAGCGGCCCGTATTAAGCTAAAGGAGGGGTACTTTTAAAAAGATTTATTAATTAATATATAAGTTAGTAGTTTATATTACGTTAGTATTATTTAATTACTCCTTATTAAACTTAGTAATAAGGATTAGGCATAGTAATTTATAGGATAGGGCTACGTAGAACTACTATAATAGAGGGGTTATATAGTTATTTATAAATCCGTACT